CTAAAAGGGAGGTTCTTTACACCGCTGACGGCCTACTTAGGCCATACAAAATGGGAACAAGATAACTAGTTCCATTCAAGATTGTGTCATGCTTTCCACTACTTTCATTTACAGCTATCACAATCAAATGGTCGTGTCACGAATGCGTATTTGCCCCACCATTACCCTGAGTCAACCTAAGTGAAAACCGATTCCTTAGTTTATAAGTTCCTAGTCCAATTAAACTCAAGAAAATAAAAGAACCGCTTCAAACGAGCGTAATTTGGTTGAGCATATCTTATTAAGGGATTAGGCGCGGAAATGATGTGGTGTAGGGGGTAACTGGAACACATTACACACGCATGTTCAAATCCCAGATCGTATCCTCCTGGGCCAACCAAGCCTTCCATCCCTCTGAGGTAAGTTAAATGGTACTAGACGCGTCCGCAAGTTATTGTATAGGCCACATACGCATTCAATACGCCACTACGATTCTGAATGGCAATAGAAAGCGCGGGCTCACCCTTCAGACGGTACTGAATAACTCCCCAAGATTTTATCCTTTATATCTTGATAAGGCTGTATTGCACTGCCGTTTCTATTTTCAAGGTCACTGACTTAATGCTTCCCGTTTATCCATATTTTCGATAAGCTTCATATCAACAGATCAAGTAAAATTGCGTTTACATAATCTGGACACTGCTATATATTGCTTGTCAGTACGAGTCCGGGGCTTTAATTGGAAGTTTTATTCAGATTTCATTTTATCCGGGGCTTTATTTGGAAGTTTTATTCCCATTCCATTCTATCGAGTGTTCATTCTTCAAAGCGGTAGAAATTCAAGTTAATTGAGTTCTTCCGAATCCGAAGCGAATTGAATTAATGGTAATTATGCTTACGTCTATTGTTCAGTGGCTCTTTCTACAACAACAATTCTTTCTAGAAGTACTCTGATCAATTTGAAGCATTGTGGTTATAGGGACTTACAGTGCATTGAAATTGAACTTGTTCAATCAAAATTACTTATTCACTCACTTAATCTAGCATTGCAGAATATGCACACCTGGGAAGGTAAAACAGAGCCAACATTAATTAGAGCGGGTGTGCCCAGCTCTAACTAATGTTGGCTTGTCTTATAATAATGAAAGTTTTCATTTTTTTTCCCAATTTTCAGTATTTTAGCGTGTGCTCTAATGCAAAGTTCCGCTACTGTTCACTCATGCGAGAGTTCATCTCGACCTGCATGCTGCCTCGAGCTCGAAGCTTGGTTAGGTAGATGTGGAGGGAGGCCGGCTCCCTTGCTCGAGTCTCTTTTATCCGTCGATCAGGGGTAACGGTCGCATTCGTTCTTCACACGTCGACTTCCACACAGCAAGCCCCGGTACAGTACATCTAAATTATTGCCCTCTAGACTAACGATAAGGACTCGCTTGTCGCTTGAAAAAATATCCGCTCACCGAAGGGGAAGCAACCTGTTGCTCTGCCACAGCCTTTCGTTACTACCGTCAGATGTCGACTTGTTCGGTCCGAAATCCGCCAACGTTTCTACTGCTCGATGGAGTATTGCCTTGGGACCTTCATCATTTTCTTCATCAATATTTATATGGAGGATAAAGTTTTTTTCGTTAATTAATCCCGTCTGAGGAATGCGCCCGCACTCGACTCCCATTCAGAATCGTAGTGGCGTAATGAGTGCGTATGTGTACTATACAATGAAATGCGGCGGGCAGCCGATGTATAATTCAGTGCTTTTATCCTTCCAGATGAGTCTGGTACCAACTTACCGACCTCGAAGTGTAGAAGGCTTGGTTGACCTAGAATCCGGGAATCGAGCCCCTGACCATGCGTGTGAGAAAGAGCGTCACTTCCCACTACACCACCTCCGCCCTAATATTTATATAAATATGTATTTATATATTTAATGGCACAGCGGCACGTCTGCATGTCCAAACGGCCAACAGTGGGTCTCCTCAGCTCCCTCCGATCCAGAGCCACATTGGAGAAAACTCAGCACTATCCCTGGCAAGGAAGTGGAGATCCCAGGGGCAAGCCTGCCAAAGCAGCAGTAGAATGGTCTCAGCGCCGCCGCATACTGGAGTCAGCCGCCTTCCCTGTCGGACGAAATGGCAACAGGTCGAAAAGAAGTGTCGGGTTGCGCAAGAAGCCTTGGATTTTGGACAGCACTTCCTCTACCCGATAACGAGACTATCTGCTACTTTACGCCTACCACGCAAGAACATTTTATTCCAATGTCGCTCTTTATGAGCTTCTCTAGTCACATCAAGCATCATGTGATTTAGCTGCAAAAAATCAACGCTAAGAGGACCGACGAACGGCGAATTATCAGGTGTTTGCATTAATTTCCGCCGCCGAATTCGAGGGGTCGTTGCGCGAACCATGTCAGGGGTTTACCTGTGAAACCTGTCATATTCTGTAAGATAGTATATTGGTTACCTACTTAAGGGCAGACAGATCAGTTTCTCCCCAAAATCCCATTGCTCTCAGACTGAATGGTCATGGAACGTGGTAAACCGTTTCCCCGGGGGCCCTTCTCCTACTGTTTGATTTCAAGAAAACTGGCATTGAAGCCCATCGGATGCTTTTCGATACTTATGGGGAACGAGCTCCTTCTGAACGACCCTGCTGAGATGGTTTCTCTCCACTCGAGAGTTTGCAGCGATAGCGGAATGTCCATTGCCAAGAAGTAATGCTGTGTGTGCATTTGGTGTTGGGGTCAAAAGGGTATTGTGCACTATGAGCTGCTGCGCCCGAATGAGACTGTTAATGCTGACCACTACGAACCCCGACTTGACAATTTGTAGGATGCTTTCACTTAAAAGCGGCCGTTAATCGCAAGAAAATATCATGAGGTGCTGTTCTACCACGAACATGCCAGACCCCATGTTGCGAAGAATGTCCTTAAAAAAAAGGCAGTTCTTGGATGGGATCAGCTTGTTCAGCCCGCATACTCTCCGGATCTTGCTCCTTCTGATTACCACCTATTCCGGTCCATTCAAATCAGTTTGGCGGATACACGCTTCCGAAATGCCGATGAAGTGCGAAAATGGTTGGATTACTGGATTGCCTAAAAAAAAAGTGGAAACTTTCTGCAACGCGGAACCTGAAAGATGGCAAGAAGTTGTAGCTAACGATGGGCAATACATAGGTTAATGTACATTAATTATGTAATAAATATGTTTTTGCACGCAAAAAACGGCGGATATTAATGCACACACCCAATATAATGGAACTCTTATGATTCGTAGTGAAGACCTTCCATCGCGGAACGTGGGCGGCGTTTCTTTTGTAGTACATCCTCTGAAGACCGTCTCTCGTACCGCTATTATCCACACTTTACAGTTGACGATTCGGATTGGAAGGCGGAAAGGTGGACAAGGACGAGAACGAAATTGTCTGGCAGAATTCTATACGGGAGTCTTCCACGACGACCCCTTCTCTCAGAAGGAAGAACAGCGCCGCTGAGTATGGGAGTCCAACTCATACTAAACCGGACAACATATCAATGAACAGGAAGTGTTGCTCACTAGATGCTAGTGTGGTACCATTTTTCTTAAGCGGTTCTGATCATCAACTCATTCGCGCAAGGACCACATCCGCACACAAGATGGAGGAGATCTCTCAACATTCCGCAAATAGCTCGAAGTTGTATACTACTAGGACGTTCTAAACGACGCTTGTCCCGATATGAGTGGCAAGTCGTGGATAACCCGACCGAAGACTATGACGGCGCTGTTTGGATTCTGCTCACCTGGGTTAAACAGGCCAGGCTTCCTGAAGTCGCCGTCAATCACACATTTCTGTTGCAACGAGGGACCTACTGAGGTTCAGAAGAAACTCAAGGCTTGACGAGAACCCCGCCTTCGGAAGCTTCGAGCAAATATTAGCTTCAGACGCGCAGTGCGGCAAGACTTTCTTTTACACAAGGAGAGAAGACTCCTGGAAGCAGCTCTTTATGGAACTAGCCTGAAGGAATGCCCATGTGATCACCTGGACTACAACATTCCACTTTCATGTTTGAAGAAGAAGGACGGAACTCTCACAACATCAAGATTAAGGATGCGAGATGCGGAAGTTACACAGAAATTCATGCCAACCTGTAGTGATCCACGACACACGTGCGAAACTCAGAAATCTCTCTGGAGAGGCAGCACCTCGAGTCCCTTCTTCGGAGGTGAGAGTTGCAATTTCGAGCATGCTACTCTACTCTAGGCCGTAACGAGGTTTCAGCCCTAATCCTAATCCCTAACCCGTGCAGGCGGGCACGAACGTTATGCGTTTCTTGCAAGACATATGAAACCCACCTCTAGAAAGAAAGCGCTGTCAACCAGTGAGGGAACTCGCGGATAGTAATTCTCCACAAAAAAGGAATTTGGGACGATCCTTGTAAGTTCGCTAATAAGCTTGTTGAGTGTCATAGGCTGTTCACAAAGATCATTCATTCTTAGCCACATGTTGAAGAAATTCAGCTGATAACGAAGCTGGAATGGTGATTTTTATTTATTTGTTCATTTGTGCACTCAATGGTGCGCTACAACAGGGCAGAAGGTGTTAGTTTCGACAAGCAAGTTAAGACGAAAACAAAGAAACAAATGCTAAACTTGTACAATAGCTGTAATAAGGGGAAGATAAAAAGGAGCTTTCAGCATCCCAGGCCTGCCGTACACAAAAAGGACGACCCATGAAGGTCGGCCAGAACTAAATAAGTCCCCCTGTGTGCCAGGGGCTCAAGTAGGCAGTGACTACCTACAGATGGTTGTTTGATTTAAGACTGAATGACGGTCATAGAAGTGCTGGTCAGTTTGGGCAACGCATCCATCCGAAGTTGTTCCCGGGCGGGTGAAAGTAGGTGCCTCTTTGATCTAAGCACGAACCCAGGGCGTAAGACCCAGACCCAAGTACTGCTTGAAGCACACTGGTTGACTACACCTGCGGAAAAATTCTTGAAGGTTTTAATCCAAAACATACTGAAGATGAGAAGCTCTAGTACTTAGATCTATGCCTTGACTAGTGCAGAGAAGGCCTATCTCACCTTCGTATCAACAGTGCATCAACAGATCCGCCTCCAGCCGAGAAGGTCACTTTTTCGTAACAGTACAAGGAGCAGTGTATCGTTATACAATAATGGCAGAACTTTCAGGTTTGCATTTGCCTTGTCACATATCTCTCAAACGGGCAGCGTCTATATTACCGTCTCTGTTACTATAGAACGATATTTAGCAGTTTGCCATCCTAGGCGCAGTAAACAAATGTGTAATCCGGGTAAGGAGCATTCTATTCTATGATGTTTTTCTCTCATAACGACTGTTCTCCTAGATATGTTGCATCTTAAACCTTAATACTGTTTGACGTGGTCAGAGTAGTTCGCGGTAAGGAAGAGTTGAATAACCGTTGTTTGGGACTGCAGCTGATGAAGGATGGAAAGTTAATTGAAGTTGACAAATAATTAATGCTCTTTATGAAAGAATGGAAATATGAGCGATGCCCAGCCCAGAACAGCCCAGAACGAATTTAACCTCGAAAGTTGAGTTCACTGATTCGATTTAAGATCATTAAAATACTTGAGGCATAGCTTATTGGGGACTTTGATTACGGCTAGGCATAAATATAATTACGCCACAACTTCTAGAAAGCTCAGAGTAATCAGTGAGATCACCCATTACTTCGTTTTGAACTCCACTACAGTTTTCTCCTACAATGTTTCATTTGTTGCGAAGGATTTTCGTCTTGTTATGCAGGAGGAGCTGCATGGACGATTCTGGGCGTTACCACATTTGCAGTATTATTCAATGCCACGAAGTTTTTTGAGCTAGAGGTCTGTCGGTGTTTTCCGCTCAGTTTTCTTTGAAATATTATTCATTATCACATCTACATAGGGGATGTAAGATATTTAGATTTAATCCCATTAACTAGAATTTTGGAACTACTTCTCCTACTCCCGGAAGTGAGTGATTATCTTACTGCAGTTATAAACATTGCGAAGTACTGATTTGCAACTGAAGGACTTGAAGCACGTCGGGGTAATGGAACGAAAGCGCTGCGATGGAAAGCTGAAAGGAGGCACGCGTCTGGACCGTATTTGCACCGTCGCGAAAAGAGAGCGTTACGAAGTAGCCTCTGTTGCTGATGAATTGGGCGAAGCTCGTCTTCGCAGGAACGGTCGTGTCCTGCGTGGCCAAAACAGTGTCTGTAAAATCGGCTCTCCGTTAATAAACCAAAAAACAGGCTCCTATGTATGGAAAACGCTTCATGTGCTCCTTGCTTCTCAAGGGATTCAGAAGTAAACTTTGCTAAATCACGCCACTCTTCCATTTCAGGTCACTGTCAATCCCGCCTGTCCTGAAGGAAAAGACTGGCAAAGTTACATACTGCTGCCATCAGTGATGGCAGCGAACCCACTTTATCAACAGGTACAACTTTTTCTTCTTATTTAGTTGTATTTGGGTACGCGAAGGCATATCATGCTATAAAAAGAACAGAACAAAACATAATAAGACAAGACAGACTGAGGTGCCCTAAATAGCAAAGGAAATGATGATCATAGTTAAAAGCAAGCGAAGAAAATGTAGTTCAATCATACAGGGGAACAAGAACAATTTCATCATTCTAAGTTCTCCAGTAGATTTAGGTTTTGTTCTTCACTTTTTGTTTTGTGGCGGAAGTAGTGCAGTGGCGCACTATCTCACACGCACGGGCGTGGGTCCGATTTCCGGATCAGTAACCGCCTAGATCAACCAAGCCTTCCATCCCTCTCGGTTCGGTACCAGACTAGTCTGGGGGGATAAGAGCAGTAACATGTTCATCGGCTAGCCACAGCAAGTCACTGTATAGGCCACATACGCACCCACTATGCCATTACGATTCTGAATGGAAGTGGAGTGCGGGTTCACTTCCCTCAGACGGGATTGATTAACACTGAAAAAATTTATCCTTCATTTAATTTTATGATACTGTAGTTTAGCAGTTTTGTGAATGGCAATTTTGACTGTGATATTTCTGAAAAAAAACATTCTACCTGTCGTTCGGTTGGTCATCGATTTCCTCTATCTGGCACCAGTAATGTCGCTTGACATCCCAAGGAGTCCAGTCAGCAATCGCCCTATTCCTATGATCATCACTAGGATAACGTGTTCGGCCCACCTTATCTTCGATTTCTTGGCGTAATGAACGGCGTCCCTGGTCTCCATTCGATGGCGAAGCTTGGCACTACAAATTCCCTTCTGCACGTGCGGTTATAGGGAGAGTCTGAGCATCGCCCTTTCCGAAGCGCGTTGAGTAACGCTGGCGAACGCTCGTCCTCCTTTCGTAGAGTTACTGAGGCGTACGTTAAAGCAGAAAGGACATTATGTGGTATCTAAAAGCTGAGCGCGGAGCGCGATGTTTTTTGTCTTTCTTCATTACTCCCTCGATGTTCTTAAATGCTGCCCACGCTTCCTTCTGCAAAGCTCCGGAGCTAGTTCGCTCATCATGTTGACTTCTCGACATGAATTCACGTAGCTAGAGCATTCAGAAATAGTCGTTCCGTTTAGAGTAATTAGCTGTTCCTCTTGAAAGCGGCACTGAAATGTTTGAGCGAGATGATATAGCCCTCTCAAACCCTTCTCTCCACGTTGATGATGACCTTTCTGTAGAATGACGAGATTCCAGTCGCGAAGTTTTTGCATTTGTTGCTCACGAAGCATCCTTACATATTGAGTAGGAATACCGGCTGCCCAGTGCTTCGACGGTATCAAAGACTTCTTTCAAATCGATGATCGTAAGACATAACGCATTTATGCTCTCGCGGTGCTTCAGTGGACCTTGTAAGGTTGTGGGTATGGCCGATTGTGCTGAACCCTCTGCAAAACCCCGCTTGCTCGCATGGCTGTCCTTCACCTGGTATTCTGTCAATCCTGTTCAGGATGACGCGTGTGAAAAGCTTGAAAATTAGAGGCAGCAGGCAGATTGGGCGATTGTTGCCAATATCCTCGGGATCTCACTTCTTGTACAGCAGCACAGTCCTACTTTTCCACAACGTTTGCGTTCTAACAGGTACTGCGCGAAGAGCATAGCCAGAGTTCTGACGATCACTAGTGAAAGACCCTTTAGATGTTCTGGTTTGATCCTATCGGCCTGGCGCTGTACCATTCTTCACCGACACGATGGCATATCAAATTTCGGAAAGGAGACGGTTCTTGCCCAAGATGGTGTGTAGGCAGGTAGTCGTGGCTGTCGAAGAGATCCGAGTAGAAAATGTTGATGACCTCCTCCAGCCTTTCGAGATGCAGTAGCTGTTCCGTCAGGAAGCCATCGTGGTCTTGTGATTGACGAAGCTCCGTTGGGTTTTACGAATGCTCTTTCCGGCCTCGACGGATTCGTTCTTCACTGCTGCTCTTCCCTTTTTCAGATCTTTCTTTATCGCTTTTCTGCATAGCTTCGCATTTGCACATTTGTTGATGTTTACCTGCAGCTCGCACGATTCCACGATGGTGTATCAGCTCGAGAGCCTTCGAAGAGAGTAGTCTCCCGGCTACCTGCAGACTCTCCGCTTTCCTAACCCTATCGTGAAGATGCTCGACGAGCCGGCCGTACTCTTCATCGATGTTGCCGAAAACGGAATCTTCCCATTCACTCGCATGGAAATGAGGTGATCCCAGTCGATGGAGGTCTTAGGGCTTCGTTTTCTAAACTTCATAGCTCTCTCTCCATGGAATGAGAAACAGAATCTAGCGCGGAGGAGACGATTGTCCGATCCCGTGTAGAACTTTGGAACAACAGCGAAATCAGTCAGGCCAAAAATCCGATTGAAGAATATGTGTTCTATTCCATTATGGAACTGTCCAACAGGTGATCTCCTCCCCCTCCTCTCCCCTCCCAAAATCGGACAGCCTTTCAAACTGCTCATTCCATTCCATTCCGTGAGTCCCTATGTGAAGCTCTTTTGCCGATCTTTTGGGGCCAGTCTTGGCGTTGAAATCATCGACGGTGATCTTGAAAAAAGTATGGTCTCCTCTATTGAGCCTCTCCAGATCCATGTAAAACCCCTCCAACTCCACTTCTTCTTAGCTTGACGTTGGTGCGTAGGCAAGGACGATTGTTACGACGGACGAGCTGGAGTTGAGCCTCATCTCCTTAATCGCAAACGTTCGATTCGGATTGTCAAGCTTTCGTACGAATTGATGTTCATGGCTAAGTGTGTATTGACGAGGACACCTACGCCGCCGACGCCTCTGCTGTCGCATGTTCCTAGGAACAGTTCTTCAGTCTCAAATACCGCTTGCAGCGGGCAATGCTCTCCCGTCTTGGTCAGTCCGATGACATCGTACTTGATCTTCCTAGTTTGCATCATCAGGTCTTCTATACACGCTTCCGATGCAAGCGTCCGTGCGTGAAAGTGCAAATTGCATCTTAATCCCTCTCCTTTTGGGCAGCCTGTTGTGGGCCTAAAATCTTAGCTGCTTGTTCAGAGCGGTCCTACCCAACGATGCCGTATCGGGGGCTCCCTCAGGTTTAGAGGAATGAGGGCCATTAATATTACTGTTTTTTGCAGATGGTCACTCAACATGTGGCTTGCCGGGCTCTAACGTGGGGCATGGATTGTCTTCGGGTGCTAGCCAGGCGGCTCCGAAGTGGACGAGAAGCTTCGTTCCCGGAGTTTCTCCGAATCGTCTCCCAGATACCTTCCCGTCACTTGAATGCAAGCTCTTGGCGAGTCGGTGGGCAGGGTACCAACTGCACCCGCATAATCTCCACACACGTATGAAAGGATGCATCAGCGAGAAGCAGAAGATACCACCACAGCAGAATAAAGAAGTTCATCCCCTAAATCCACGTGCGTCTCTTGGCAAGTTTTGGCAACTTTTTGTCAGCGATTTACTCCCCTATCCGCCACCTGGGAATGCCCTACGTAGCCTCGTCGCTAACCGGATGGGATCCTTCAGTGAGAAAGAACCCACAGTGAAGGAGATCCGTAGAGAGAAACATTTGCTCTCCAAAATTATGACTCCAGACTTGATCGTTCAGGTCCTCTACAAACATATGCTCTTTTCTTTGCCACTTTTCGATGTGTAGTCCATGTCTGCTACGCATTTCAGTATTGTAAATACGAGTCATCCGAATCTATTTATATCAGTGGTGTGTGCTCGTGGTGGCACACGTCGCCCATATATTATGATTCGGATGACTTGTATTTACAGTATTTTATATGTATTCATTTATTGAAACCCAAGTCGCAATCATCAAGTCAATCTGTCAAAATAAAATTTGCGGCAGAAATGATAAAGTACAAAAAGAGTACATCAGAATAGTTTTAATAATCCAATTGGATCTTGCTCAAGAATCAGGTTGTAGGTGGCCTCTGGAACACTTCTCCATCAAACTAATAACGAGCGCTCTTGAGGGAAAATTCGTGTAAAAGTGCTTCATACACTGCGAAAACTTTCTTTTCTTCATCCATCTGATAAAACAGCTCATGTTATGTCGGGTGGTGTGAACAGTTTGGACGGGCTCTCAGGAACTGTCTTCACTGTTTCAGGTGTATGCGTTATGGCTTACCAATATAGTGATGGTCTTTCTACCATTTCTCACTCTGCTCATTTTAAATGCCTATATCGCTTACACGATCCGAAGAAGTTTGAAGAAATTCGATAATCATCAGCAGAAGTGAGTACCTGCTTGTAGTAGGTATAATTACTTCCGTTGAAAGAGGTTCTGAGAGACTAAACCTTTTTCGAAATTCATAATAAACGGTAAACAATTAAAAAATAATACCTCGAATCTATTATGAGCCCGTTTTTCAAAAAAATGTACTTGCCATCAGATTCAAAACTCGCGTACTCAAATGTAGGATTGGAAGATGAAGCTCACGAATTTTTTTCAGTACAGTGGAAAGGCACATATACACTGCTGAACACTCAGATTACTTATGTTAGACCCTAGTATAAGCAAGCACTGGGGCTGAGTTAAACGCTAAGATGTTCAGCGTCCACTAAGGCGATGAGGAGTATCGTGATGTTCTTCTAGCTGATTGCACTGCATTAAAAATTGCATTGGGCTGCATTTCTCCGAAAACGCTTTGTAACTCTGCACCGCTTGTTTTATCAAATTCAAACTTTTCGCTTATGTGATAGCATATGTTCACGAATATGTGTGTGCGTCATCGTTGTCAGTAGTTCATAACTGTCAACGAAAAGGAATCTCTTTTTAAAAACTTCGTCTTCTTGTAATTATTATGAGTGGGCTCAGATTTCAGATCCATTGCAGCCGCACTCTCCAATTCGGCAAACTTTGCACGTGAAATGGCCAGGTGAATTCTGATAGGCTCTTGAGCAGCTTGACTTACCCAATGCATGACTAACAATATCAATCCACATCTTTTGCTCGCTCAACACGCTCGGTCCCTATTGCGAAGTTGGTGCCAAGAGATCTGATCACCTTCTTGACACATTGTGTACCAAATCCATGCAGAAACCTAGCTTCCTTCACTTCCTTGTCCCTTAGAAGTGAACAGATAGTGGTGCTAAAAATAGGTCAATGTCAAACATTAATTTCCTCGGCTGCTATGAGGTTTCTGTCACTGATTCATTCTGCTTTATTAAGTGATGTTTCGGTATTTTACGCCTTCGACTTCGTTTTTGCCTCCCCTGCATATTCTAACACTTTATCTTACTAACATGTATAGAAATCGAAAATTAATCAGTTAAGTAATTCAATCGCTGCTGTTCAGACTACCGGATCGAAGTGAACTGAAAGAGAAAAGTAGAGAAGCGACACTTGTATTGGTGATTATCGTCTGTATTTTCCTTATATGTAATTTTTGGGGTTTCGTTCTGACTCTCCTTGAACGGATTGTCGATCATGAAACTTTGGTAAGTCTCCTTGAGTTAATAAAGTTGTTAACAACTCATTTGTGTTATATTCAGTGGCCCCTACGATAAGCTAAACAAACTCCACGATACTCCTGATAATACATATGGTTGTTCTCATGCATTCAAAGTTCGAAGAAGAAGACTTAGGTGCCAGAATGCCATCGAATCTCATAGATATTTCTTAACTCTCAACAATGGATAGCGAGCTATACACCTCATCCTTCGAATTTTGAATGACAAGGTTTTTCTACCCGATAAGACCTTCATTCCATGGGGAAGTCTCATTGGCTGCTTTCATAGTCCGCCGGCCGGCCGGCGTGCCACGAGGCAGTGCTAGGGGGAGGAAACGGTCGGTCGAGGAGTTGAAAACAAAGAAGAACAAGATCAAAAACCAAACAACCAGGGGCTCGTACAAATGGTTTTTGATCTTGTCTCACTTTGTTTACAGCCCTTCGAGGGGCTAACCGACCGTCTGCCGCCCTCCTCCCCCCTANCACTGCCTCGTGGCACGCCGGCGGACTATGAAAGCAGCCTTTTCAACAAGCAATGGTTCTATTTGCTACATGTTTTTTAACTAACCTTTCCTCGCTGTATCTACGAATGGGTCCCTTGAGAAATTAGTTTAGTTACCATATCCAATGTTTTTTATTCTGTGCAGCGATGCAGCGAATCTTTCGGGGCCAGAAGGTCCAGAGTGTGTTCGAGGCGCCGCACTCGATTGCTTGGTATGAAGTGTCAGACCTTAGCAAAAAGAACGAGCTTTTCTCCACTGTAGCACTCTGGTTTGATTTTCCGTCTAGAAACCAATGCAGACTCACATATGTGTAAGTCTGCGCGGATCGTTACTTAGTAGTTCAAGTGAACCATGGAAGCCCGAATCAACGACTTATAACCTAACCAATTTCGAAAACGATTTTGTGTGTCTTCAACGGTGTCATCAACTCGAATGACTCGTTCAGATGGTGAAATATCATGCTTTTTATACTTTCTCTCGAGAAGCAATCAACTTCCTGGCAATAATTAATTCGTCGATTAATTTTGTTATTTACATAGTATTCGGTAGAGAATTCAGGTAAGCTCAATCTCCGATTTGGTTTATCACGACTCTATTCTATGGATTGTTCATTACTGGGATCATTTATAACTACTTTTATTGGATTTAGGAAGGAGTTGGTTATTGTTTACGGTTGCGGAATGCGTAGTATTACTATGCGATTACCGGTACAGGACAAGTTTAATATATGGCGAACTTGGGGCAAGCGGGCCAGAGAAGTGCGGCAGTCGATCCGTGGTAAAAATAATCTAAGCGCTCGAATGGTAAGAGCTTTACTTATAACGGCCTTAATTCGTGAATAATCCAATTTCCGGTTTTGAAAGTTCCTTTTTCCTAGTCATCGGCTACATCAAACCTGGAATTCTGCACACTCGATCATCTAGAGCAGTCTCGAATCGTACAGGAATCCAAAGACGTAAATGGGCAGCATTCAAGGAAAAACAGTTCACCGAATCGCGTAGTTCAGAAAGGCTCGGGTGCGCAGTACAATTCAATGAACGAGGAACGAGCAGAATAAGACTCCGCTCGACTCGACCTTTCTCAGGATAATATGTTTCAGGGAAAGCAGTGATGATGGATCAAGTAAACGGCACTACTGGACGTTGGACAACACTTACCTTGTACTCAGCAACCGATAGTGAAATACATGGCCAACTGCTGTTCTTGATGGAACAAGAAGGAACTCTTTGTTAAAAATCGGGTTTAGAATTTGGTTTTCTGAAGGTCCTAACTCCTTCGCATGACCAGGGAGGTCTTAGATGTGCTTTTTCACAGGTACTCCTAAAGTTCTTTTGATTCATATAGTATGCCTTATTGCTCTGAAATGATGTGCACAAAGACGTCCGCAGTAAACGTTACGGTTATTCTTTCATACTGCTTTGTATTACCTGTTGATTGATGAAATAATATAAATATTATGCGTAAAATATGTAAATTACTTTTGTAGGGTGAATCACTTCACAGATACTCAGTGGATTGCACGCAGTCAAATAAACTCATTTCAGACAGTATCTTGAGATCTTGAGGTAGAGGTAGGTATGCTTCTGTAAATAGAATCCCTTTCAAGTTTCGCATTCTAAAAATGTGTGCAGAAAGACTCAAGCATCACCTTAGTCATTACTAAAGTACAATACAGACCACCATTCATGTGCTGCCAAGAAAGACGAGACGATTTATACAGGCTATTTACCGTGGAACAGAGCAAAGCCAGCCGTTTCGAAGACATAAGAGATGGAGCTCGCGGTATTCGATGGTCGTTGTATCACGACAAAAGCACAAACAAACAGCATGCTCAGAGATCATATCCAATAGCGTAGGATGGATTAATGTGAATGTTGCAGCGGAGTTTTACGTAGAACTCACTCTGTAGTGGTGTCTTCCTGATTCATCGTCAACTGTCTGACTGACTCGACTACTAAGTATTTTGTACTTTGCCGCAGTGTTTCTTCCATTTCTTGTTTCCTTGCCGGTCCTCCATTTGAACAGTTCATCGAAGGGAAAGACAGAATAATCCATAGGGCATACGTGGAAGGTATGATGATCAAGCCAATCACGGGCATGACACTTAATTTACTACGTTGTAATGATTCTCCTGATGTTCATTCCAAATATGACCACTTTCACAGTCATCCCCTTCTTCAAGTAGTTTTACATAAATTACTTTATTTGTGAACGGTCTGGACAACGAACATGTGCATGGTATTCCCACAAGAACTTCACCGAAAGATATATAAGCAATTTGAATTGCTGAAAGAGCTTTTCGCACTATTTTTCTGCCAATAAAAAGGGCGAAGGTGTTTTATCGGCAAGTGACGCACTATTTCACACGCATGGTCGCGTGTTCGATTCCTGGATCGATATCTCCCCGGGTCAACCAAGCCTTCCATTATTCCGGGGTCAGTTTATCGATACCAGAGTTGTCTAGAAGGATAAGAACACTGATACACTGGCTGGCCAACGCAACTCATTGTATAGGCCACATACACATTCAATACCATGCCAACGCCACAACGACTCTGAATGAAAGACGAATGCTGGGGCGCATAATTCGGATGGGATAAAAGCCTAAAAGTTTTAGTCTTCTTTATCAGTCTCTTTTCTCACGACGACTGCATTATTCAAGCAAATCGGTGGCCTATAACAGAGAAATTCACAGTATTCGCAAAGTTAGAGCACATGAAGGCGAAAAAATTTGTTTCTCAATTTCTGGAGTAATTTCTAATATTATGGTTAAGGCTTTCAGCGTTGACTCCATTTCCAGTACCACTCAAAGTTTGGAAAATAAAATTTCGGAGAAAGAAAGCGACATACACATATTGCCTTGATAATTTAAGAGCAAGTGTACGACTGGTTACGTTCTCTAATTCCTAAGTATTAGGTTTTTGGATAGTGGCTGATTTTTTCCAACAATACCTCGGAGTATTATTCACTTATTTATTTATTTATTTACCAGTGAGCTACGCACGCTCATGCGTGCACCACACGTCCACAACCGCTCAT